GACAAGAATAAGATGGAACTGAAATAAGATAGATGTCGACGATAAATTTTCATATCATGTTATGCGTGAGATTATAAAGAAAATGAGTATCTTGAACCTAAATTTATTGAGAAATGTAGGAATAGAAAAGATTGGCCAAATAAAAAGATGCAATCAATAAAGAGCTTAATTCTCTTACTCAATGAAAAGTTTCTGGACCTGTAGTCCGCACACCAAACGGGATAAAAGCAATGGGACATAAATGAGTATTTATGCTTCAAAGAAACGATAAAAATGAAGTTGTGAGGTATACAACAAGACTCATTGCACAAGGTTTTACCCAGAGGCCCATAATTAATTATGAAGAAATGTACACTCCTTTGGTTGATGCAATTACATTCTATTATCTAATAAGTCTAGCAACACATACAAAACAGGAGATAAGTCTAAAAGATGTAGTTACCACCTATTTATATGGTTCACATGGGAATGATATTTAAATGAAAATCCCATAAGGGTTTAAGGTGCCATAAGCACTAACTTCTAATTTTCGAGAAGTATATCTAGTAAAATTAAATAAATCTTTGTATGGATTAAAACAATCTGACTATATTTTGTCTAATTGTTTGAGTATATTTTTGTTGAAAGATCCGGATCAGAATTTATCATAATTGATATTATTGTAGATGATTTGAACATAGTTGGAACTCCTAAAGAATTGGAAAAGACCACTTCTTGTTTGAAATAAAATTTTGAAATGAATGATCTTGGTAAAAGATGAAATTCTATTTGGGTCTTCAAATTGAGCACACAAAAATGGAGTTTTTGTACATTAATATCTAGAAAAGGCATTTAAATTTTTTTATATTAATAACTCACATCCATGAGTATTCCGAAGGTGGTAAGGCACTTAGATTCCAAAAAGGACCAATTTCAACATCATAAAAAACATGAAAATCTTCTTGTTCCCAAAGAACCATATCTTGGCACTATTGGTGCACTAATATATCTTACTATTAATACAAGACCTAATATACCTTTTGCTGTAAACTTATTAGCAAGATATAGTTATTGTCCAACAAGAAGACACTGGAATAGAGTCAAACACATTCTTCGATATCTTCGAGGTACAATGGACATGGGCTTATACTATTCAAATTCATCAAATGCGGAGTTAATTGGTTATACAAATGTTGGATATTTATCTGATCCACACAAAGCTCAATCCCAAACAGATTATTTATTCACTTGTGGAGGTACCGCAATTTCTTGGCGTTCTCTTAAAAAAACTTTAGTTGCTGCTTCTTCTAACCATGCAGAGATTATAGCAATTAATGAGGCAAGTCGTGAATATATTTGGTTAAGAAATTTAACTCATCATATTCATGAGAATTGTGGTCTAACTTCTAACAGGGACGTTCTAACCACACTATATGAAGATAGTATGGCAAATTCAAGGAAGGGTTTATCAAAGGAGACAGAACCAAACATATATCACCAAAGTTTTTTTCACTCATAATCTTCAAAAAGAGCGTCACATCAACATAAAAAAAAATCAATCAAGTAACAACTTGGCAGATTTGTTCACTAAAGCGCTTCCTACATCCAAATTTGAAAACATGGTATGAAACATTGGAATGCAACGCTTTAAGGAAATTAAGTGATGTGGTGATCAGGGGGAGTTGAAACATATTGTACTCTTTTCCTTAGCTATGTTTTCCTACTGGGTTTTCTTAGCAAGGTTTTTAACGAGGCAATTGTTTTCAATATCTGTTATTAATCATGTACTCTTTTTCCTTAATAAAGGGTTTTCCCATGAGGTTTTACCTATTAAGGTTTTAACGAGGCATGATACAATCGTCATTCAAGGGGGAATGTTATGAAACGACCATTGGATTCCCCATTTCTCCCATAACTTTCTATCATTATTTAGCATTAGTAACAATCATTTCAATGTGTTTTATGCGTGTAATAATGCACCATCATAATGTGCATTCATCTTTCATCTTATTTTGGTTGTATAAATAGTGAGACATATGTATTAGAAAGTTGATGATTTCATCACAAATATTGGAATAAAAGTTTTCTCCACTCTCATATCTTTCATTACTATATAATTTATCTTGTTATTAACTTCAAATTTTAAAACGAATACTTAGTATTTTCGTTTTTGTATTAAAAACAAGGGTAATGACTTAAAAGGGTAACTTATTTTTTGATTTGTATACATTTAATCACTGATTTTTTTGTCCACATTTTTCGATTGAACTTGTTTCCGTTCAAAAAACATCATTATGATCTTGAATTGTAGGTTTAACCAACATACAATGTATTTGACAATTCCGACGATTTCCTAGTTATCTTCTCCGATAAGACTCTGGGGTTCATGATTTTTCCGGAGATGATCCGGTCTATTGTTGTTCTTATGTGTTTATATGTATTCATTTGATAAAAACAAACCCAGAAGTTCACGCGTGTATGCATTCATCTGCAAAAACCCAGAAGTTCATGGATCTGGGTTTGTGTATACACGCAACCCTTCATCGTTGCCTGCTACAACATGTTCATCAACTATCAGATATGAGATCCAATCCACCATTTTCTGCCTTTTAAGTCATTCTTCATTTGCATCTTTTTTTATAAGTTGTTTCTTCAATATTAGATGAACACATAATCAGATTTGATGAACACATAAACTCAAGAACCCCAAATCAGATGAACACACGCACACACACGATCTTCAACACAGACATAAAACCGTACTATTACTCTGTATGTTTTGCTAAAACACAAAGACCAAAAATCGAACTCAGGAATAACCCTAAGTCGAGTTAGGGTTTTCAAACCCATAAATCGATTTCTAAGAACAAAGAAGAAATCGATTGTGTGTGTGTGTGTGTCAGTGTGTGTGTGGATTCATTGAAGATGAACACACTTACATGTGAAGGTTTTCTCAAAATCGAGCTTCAAGGTTTGACGAGCTTGAAGATGAACTCGAGTTAGGGTTTTTAAAACAAGAAAATTGAGCTTGAATATGAATTTGAATCCGGAATATATATGATTTGTGTTAATCTTTGTTAGAGAAAATAGAACAAAGAGAGAGAATGAGAGAATAATAATATGGAAAGAACTCATACTGTCAGAAAAATCATAATCACCGGAGAAGATGATTGGAGTCTCATCGGAGCTGTCAAATATGTCGAAAGTCGGCTAAACTTACGATTGCATGTCATAAGGATGTTTTTTTGAACGGTTCAACAAGTTCAATGAAACAATATGGACAAAAAAATTTTAGTGGTTAAATATATACAAATCGAACAATAAGTTACTCTTTTTAGACATTATCTCTAAAAACAATACAATATGTTATAACTTATAAATTAATCAGAATTTATATTAGAAATTACATATTTTGATAAAAAAGAAATGATATGGCTATGACCTTAAAAATTATACAAATATCGCATCTATTTGTGTGATAAAACATGGGGCCCTAATTTAAACGAGTATAATACAAATACAAATGAGAATCTTGATTGGGCGGCAAACGCTTAATCCCTACTACCGTCTTGCTTACGTCATGTCAAAGTACGTTTCGCTATTCCTCCTCTTCACGGCGGTGGCGGCACTCAACACCACCGCCGTTACGGCCGCTGCTATTACTACAACTTCCACCAAGTCCCGCCACCTCTCCTCCATAAATTCCCCGTCGCCGGGACCTTCCCCATTGATTCAACCCAAACACCCTATCCCTCATCCATCAATTTCACCACCACCGCCACCGCCACCCATCTCTATACGATCACCGCCTCCTCCGCCTACACGACCGGAGTATATGCAGCAACAACAACTCAAGAACATAATCGACGCCCTAATCGGCGCTGGCGACTTCGCAGCATGGGCAAATATCCTCTTTAATCCAAAGATAAATTCATCGATCCCCACTAGCACCACCGCCGCACTCATCCCAACCACCGCCACCATGTTTGTCCCCGGCAACGATGCTCTGTCCCACCTCTCGGCCTCCGCCACCGGCGCCTACAATTTCGACCCATTCATCATCCCTTACCACATCCTCCCACAACGACTCACGTTCTCGGAGCTTCAACTCTTCAAAACCCAAACTCGACTCCCCACACTATTGCCCTCAAAAACAATCATAATCACGAACAATACCCCTTCCAATTTCACCATTGATGATTCCTTGATCATGCAACCTGATATTTACCAAAACCCCGCCGTCTGCGTCCATGGTATCGCAGCCATCCTCGACTACACAATGTACGGCGAAGCTCCTCCGGCTCCTCCTGCTTCACCTCCGCCCCCGGCGTCGACGCTTGATGAAACGTTAACTCCGTCACCAGAAGTTGCAAGAAATTGTACTTCAGATCTTGTGTTTTCCGATGATGATTTCTTCTTCTTTATGATGGTAATTCTTGCTTGCGTTGTTTTTATCCCTAATTGGTAGAAACCCCCTTTTCAATTTTGTTAATATCAAATATTCGGTGGAGTTCTTCTCAAGAACTGAAAATTGTTTGAAATCACCGGTTTACCGGATAGTTGTAACTGTACATTGTACATGACATCGGTCGATCATTTGTTAAAAGATTGTAATTGTTTGTGAGAATTACATAAATAGCCCCTGAAGTATTCTTCAGTTACAATTTCTTTTATTTCTTTAAATATATTTCTATGCAAATCTCAAATTGTGTATATTTCTTGTGGATTTCATGTTTCCCTTCGTCTATTTGATTCTTGGATGCCAACGGAATAGAATCCAAGATTCTATTCCATTACATGTTTGGATAAGTTGAATGAGTTTCATCTCTTTTTAACATTAAAAGACCAAAATACCCTTTTTAAAAACAAAGACCAAAATATGTGTTTGAAGTCAACAAGGATGTAAATGAACCAAAATATGATAAGACATTGATATACAAATCAAGATTTATATATATATATATATATATATATATATATATATATATATATATATATATATATATATATATATATAAATTCAATGTCTTTCAACATATTTGCACATGAAAATCATCAAATTACTATGCTTACAAAGTTTTAAAAAAAGATACATAAAAGAAAAACAAAAAAGATGGATTAGAATTAGAATAGAAGTGTCCTTCAGTTCCTGTTCATTGTCTCCTTGATGTCCAAATATTCACCAGTTACTCTGCAGTAATAAATTCAACAAATTTTATAATATTTTTCACACCAAAAAAATATGTTTAATGAAGAAAAAAAAACAAGAAAATAGATGTTTGTTTTTGACTTAATGCATAAAGAAAGACTTAATAAAGAAAGCCAGTGAAAGGAGACATTCTCTATAAGCTATAGCTTTTTACAAATTTGCCCTTTATTTTTTTTTGTTCAAGAAAGCCAGTGAAATTAGAGATAATTTATTAAAAAGGTAAATATAAATTAAAAGCAACATACCTATTATATTTCAAGTATGCATCACCTATTGTTCCTGAGACTTTATTTCGTACCTTTCGCACGCAAATCTAAAAAGAATTCAAAAAAAATAAAGTAAAAAAAAAAATAATGCATATTTAATAAAAAAATATATATTAATTTATAAATATCATAGTACCTGCACTCGATCCATTGGACCTGCCTCTGGATCCCGATTCCGATGAATAACAATTCCAGTGTCACATTTGTTTATAAAATGTGCGCTTCCACTAATATCATAAAGATTTGGAGGTTTTCCATTCCATTGTTGCAACTATTGAACAAATTTCACAAGTTAGATCTAGAAAAAAGAAAAGATTCATCGGGAGTTTCGTTTGCAGAATGTTTTTGGAAGGAATGGAATTACATTGCATGCCACAGAATGGAATCAGAGATTCCGATTGCTAACCTGTCTAGGATGTGCCACAAACCAAACATGGCATGAATGGTGTTGAGCAAACCGTTTGATACTTGTCAGCATTTGACTTACATATTCTGTTTCAGTCCTGTTTTACACACAAAATAAAAAAAAAACAAATGATTAATTTGTAATAACTAATAACTATTAACATCTCAAGTGTCATGAGTCTGAAGAACAGGTTGTATTGCGTTTGACATGCATTGGACGGGGACAGAGACCGATGTCAATGGGAGGACAAAAATTGTAGTTTTTTGTCCCGCACAAAAAAAAAGTGGGACACGGACACACTCTTGATCTTTCGTATGTGTAAAAAGATGTAAATGCCCTTCTCATCATCATCATTGAAAATAGCCATAGAAAGCTTGTTGAGTTGTGTCCCGTTTTGTTCAACAAACGCAGCCGTAGGCTGCGTTTGTTACACACAACTCGACAAGCTTTCTACAGCTACTTTCAATGATGAGGATGAAAAGGGCATTTACGTCTTTTTACACACACGAAAGAACAAGAGCGAGTCTGTGTCCCACTTTTTTTTGTGCGGGACAAAAAACTACAATTTTTGTCCTCCCATTGACATCGGTCTATGTCCGAGTCCAATGCATGTCAAACGCAGTACAACCTGTTCTGTTTTGTCATGTGCTGTGTGACAAATGCGACCTTATAGGACAAATTAAGACAGAAAAAAGGTCGGATAAATATCATAAAAATAATTAATAATTTTTTTATTATTAAAAATACTTACTGGTTGGGAGGTCGTTGATGATCAAGCTCATTATATGGATCAATCACAAGCCCATTGACACCGTGTCTAAGGACTGCAGCTTTTGCAAGGCGAAGAACCCATTCAATACTTGGTAGGCAATCATTCTCACACCTATTACATCCTTCAACTTTTTAGGACTTTGAAAAATCTATCTAATTATAGCAATGAAGTTTGCTTTGTATTTTGATCACATTGCTATAATTGGGTAGGTTTTTTAAAGTATAATGTTGTAATAGGACAAAATGAAAGTAGGATGATATAATAAATACATATATGATATTTCTTGGAAGTTGGAACTCACCTTATGAGATGAAAAGTATCACTCAACCATTTTTTTCCTAACTCCAAATCCTCCAAACTCATTCTTTCAACAGATTTTCCATACCTGTGATTATTATGTGCAATAAAGAAATATTAGAAAAACAAACAAAAGAACATTAACATCAAAAATCTTCATAAATAACTTTAGAAAAAGTTAAAAATTAGCTAACCTCACATCAAAGAACGGCTTCTTCACGTGCTTTTCAAGAAGTTTCCTTGCATGCTCTCTAACCTAATAAAAGTAGAAAGAAAACATAAAAATTAAAACACTTAAACAACACCTATCAGTAATTAATATTTGTATAATTTATATAATCATTAATTCATATTTCATTCATGCATGCATCATTGCATAAGTAATCAACTTTAGTTGGCATGTAGGAATAGAATGAATGGTCATATAATTTTGACAAAACTTCATAAATGGTCCCTGTGGTTTTTCAAAATCCCTAACTTTAAAAAACTTCACGGAAAGTCCCAGTGGTTTCCAATTTATATCATGGTTGGTCCCTCATCCACCTAAAAAGACTTTTATACCCTTTTCATTTCTTTTTTATAATTAATTTTAACTAAACCTATCTAAAAGAATCAAGAAAAACACAACAAATACAAGAGAGAGATGTGGGCCCCACTATTTATTGTGTTTTTCTTTACTCTTTTAGATAGGTTTAGTTAAAATTAATTATAAAAAAGAAATGAAAAGGTTATAAAAGTCTTTTTAGATGGACAAGGGAGCAACCATGATATAAATTGAAACCACATGGACTTTCCGTGAAGTTTTTTAAAGTTAGGGATTTTGAAAAACCACAAGGACCATTTATGAAGTTTTGTCTATACTTTCATATTATACGTAAATGTAAAAGTATAGAGAATGAATTTTTTTTATTATTTTAAAAATAAAAAACTGAACATAATAAAATCTCACCTTATTCTCCATAGAGCAAAGTGCAAATTTCCAACCAACATTTTCATTAAGATTACATAACAATGCATCAATCCACTCACTCTTTCCTGAATTCGGGACTCCAGTGACTAAAGTCAACTCTCCAGGAACAACCTGGTCAAAAGTCAACACAAACATCCATGCATTTTTCATTTCTATAATTAGAAAAAAAAAATTAAGAACAAGTTTGTAGATATATAAAGTATGTGTAAACTTACATTATATAAATCATCTAAAGCTTTCCATCCAGTTGAAATTCCAAGCTCATTACCAAGGGTTTGATGATAATATGAATCAATTTCACCAAAATAATCTCTAAAATTAAATAAACCTTTAATTGGATATAATTCTGCATTTTCAATAACTCCTCTTAATACAGCTGGACCCATGAACATCAGAACCTGATAAAAAGATTCATCAATTGTAATAACAAGAGTCATAATAATAATTAGGGTTTAGGGTTTGGAGTTTAGAGTTGACTTTTTTTCAAAAATGGGTAACTGAAAATTTTGTTTTTTAGTGGTTGAAAAAAGTAGAATTACAAAAAGAACATTGTATTTTAGGCAATTTTGTGGTTTAAACACTAATAGTTTACTTTTTTTTCCAATCAAACCATAAAATTTCAGGCATTTTTCCATATTAATTAATTAATTAACCATGTTGACCTGTTGTATCAGGTCAAAGTAGTTAGATTGGAAAAATGTCTGAATCTTTTATGGTTTGATAGGAAAAAAATAAAGTATAAGTGGTTATAAACCACAAAATTGCCCAAAATATAGTTTTTTTTTTTCTGTAATTTGCCCTTATGAAAAAAAGAAATTTAAATTTTAACAAACCTCATTAGCATCTTTAAATTGCTCTTTTTCATTTTTACTTGGCCATGTCACTCTCCAACACCTGTTTAAAAAATATAAAAACTTGAGAGGCATTAAAAAAAGGATTAATCTCATAAAAACATTATATTTTGGGTTTTTTCCGGATTAGTCATAAAACCTCAACTTCTTTTTTTTTTTCTGAAAAAACCCCTCAACCTTCTAACTGTTTCTGAAAAAAACTTCACCTTTTTTAGTTTTTTCTAAAAAAATCCTCACATTTTATAAGTTTTTTCAGAAAAAAAAAATGACAAAGGACCAGATTGAAAAAATGAAAAAAAATACAAGGTCCTTTTTAAGAAAGGGTTAATCTCATAAAAGATCTTATATTTTGTGTTTTTTCGGATTCAACCTCAAATTTATTTTTTTCCTGAAAAAGACCTTGTACTTTTTCATTTTTCCCAAAAAAGCCCTCAACTTTGTATTTTTTTTCCGAAAAAAACCATGAACCTTCTAAATGCTTCAAATAAACCCTCAACTTTTTTAGTTTTTCTCAAAAAACCTTCACATTTTGCAATTTTTTTTGGAAAAAAAACAAATAAAAGAGCCAGATCGAAAAAAATGAAAAAATACAAGGTCTATTTCAGGCAAAAAATAAATTTGAGGAGTAATCCAGAAAAAACACAAAATATAAGATCTTTTATGAGATTAACCCTTTAAAAAAATTAATAAAAAAATAAAAGTAAGGGCAATATCGACCTTTCTCTTCCAAGGCGACGTGCAAGTTCTTCAGCTAAGGCTTGACCAGGCTGATCCGCATCAGTAGCAAGTATTATACGAGTCGCCTGCAATTTATAATTAAAAAAAATAAAAATTTTAAAAAATTTATTACACTTATAATAATAAAAAAACAAAAACAAAAACAAAAAGATAGAAACTAGTTAACTATACCTTTTCCAGATACTCTTTGCAGTTCCATAAATATTGGTATTTCACATCCTACATTCATAAAACACAATAAATTATTATTTAAGTAAAAAAAAAGGTTAATCTCATAAAATACCTTATATTTTGCGTTTTCTTCCCGATTAAGCCTCAACTTTATTTTTTGTTTGAAAAAGACCTTGCATTTTTTCATTTTCTTCGGTCTGACCCTTTGTCTTTTTTTTTTTCCAAAAAAGCTTGTAAAATGTGAGGGTTTTTTCAAAATTAGGTAAAAAAAGTTGAGGTTTTTTCACAAAAAGTTAAAAGGTTGAGGGTTTTTTTGGAAAAAAAAAACAAAGACAAAGTTGAGGGTTTTTTTGGAAAAAATGAAAAAATGCAGGGTTGTTTTCTTGCAAAAACTAAAGGGGAGGTTTAATTTAATCCAGAAAAAACACAAAATATAAGGTCTTTTATGAGATTAAACCAAAAAAATGATGGAATTAAAATTTAAATAAAACTTTAAACCTGTTCTTGAGAAGGTAAATCTTTAGAGGAAGCTTTTGGAGGAGCTCCATCAGGAACACTCACACAGTTTCTAAAACCAGCTTCTTCCATTGCAAGTTTGTCCATTTCGCCCTCCACCTTTTATAAAAAAAATATATAAATATATAATATTTTGATGAATCAAAATTAGAAACAACAAATAGTTTGTGTATTTCAAGATGTAAAGTGAAAACTTACTATGATGATATCACTTGCTCCTTCTATATCATCAAGTCCATATAATATCTTTTCAGTATCACTTTCCTAAAAGGGTAAAAATGTCAATTTTGACTTTAGTCAACTGATTTTTACCATAAATAGTAAGTTTTGATATATAGATTTTCACCTGCCAGAATTTCTTTGAGATATCTCTGTATTTGCAACTAACAAGTTCTTTTTTTCTTCTATAAGTAAATGCAATAACAATCTGCATACACAATTGAATAAAAGTTAACAAAAAAATAGCATTGCACTTTACATGGAGAAAAGGGGTAGTTTTGTAATTTTACCTGTTTTTCATATCTTCTTTGCATGACATGATTTCTCCGTAATGTCTCTTCAGATATCATTCTTTCGGAAAAATATTCAACTAACTGAATCATAAAAACAAGATATAGTGTCAAGTGTCTGAATGTGGGTAAATCAGTAAATGACCATTTTACCCTTCTGTATTTAAAAAAAGAAACACCCATGCATGTATGTATCCTCCAGTAAGTCAAAAGGAAAAGTAATATTCAAGTAACTGAAATGAGGTATAATATCAACTGTCTGAATGTGAGTAAATGAGTAAATGACCATTTTACCCTTCTGTATTTAAAAAAAAAAAAAAGAAAGAAAGAAACACCCATGCATGTATGTATCCTCCATTAAGTCAAAAGGAAAAGTAATATTCAAGTAACTGAATCACAAAAACAAGGTATAATATCAACTGGCTGAATGTGAGAAAATGAGTAAATGACCATTTTACCCTTCTGTAAGTAAAAAAGAAAAGTGAATAGGAGAGAAGATTTCTACATCTTTGCACAAAGGTTCCAAATTCAATTCATGTTCTGAGAGTTCCTTAATCTTTTTCACTTTGGGGAGTGCATTCATCCGTTTGTAACTTGATTTAACATCTGCAAAAGCCTGAAATTAAAGAATAAAGAGAAATATTAGGTCAACATAAAGGTCAAATGAAGAAAAAAAAGTAGTGAAAAATGAGAATATTTACTCGTGTGCTCCCTTTCCATCCACATTTGGCTCGAAAACAAGTCCACACAGCTGAATTACTAAAATGTTTTATAAAAATCCATGTCAGAATTTTAAAAAAGAATATTGGTTTTAAAAATATGAGGCAATTTACATACCCATCATCAGAAATGAAGAGAGAGAGCTTCTTCTCCCCTGAGTCGCCACCTTTGCACTATTGAGTAGAAAGATGCATTTAGAATGGAATGAAAACTACAAAGTAACCGATTTTTTATTTGTGTAATCTTCAATCACATTGATTCTTTTGAAAGTTTCATAATGGAATTGAAATGAAGGAAAAACTATAACCTAAGCAATATGTATGCTTACCATGGGGCAAATCAAGCCATTTTTCTGTCCAGGACTAAAAGATTCAGAGACTATTCCAATCTCCTTCAATTTCACTTCAAGTGCCTTTAGCTGTGGGGTATCGATTATTATTTCATCATCAGCCTTCTCCAAATATGCTTCAGAAACTATATCAGAAGGAAAAACAACAACAATACCATTATTATCAGTTATCCAAAAGAGAAATTCTTCAAACATAGACCACGAACAACAATTTCAACACAATCGAGAAGCAGATATAGAGTTAATTTACTGATAAACAGAGAGATAAAAGCAGGGTGTTTTGAACTGAATGATGGTTGATGAAATTACCTGGTCTGGGGATACTAGCGTGGGAAGAAAAGGATAAGTTAGATGGTTTAAGGGATAAAGGAACCAATTTGGGGGATGATTTTGAGGGAAAAGTAGAGGAAATGAATTTGTGAGCAGGGTAGAGGTTGGTTTTGTTGTCGGGATAATTGAATGAAGAGGTTGTGGGTTTGAAGTTGAGGAAGTGCTTGGAGGTCATAATGGGACAGGGGGAGTTGGAGACGAAGAGACCACGGAGAGAGGTGCGATGCCTAAGAAGCATCTCTCGGAGCTACGACTTTGATTAAGTAGGAGTATAAGTAGCGTTCATTGCGGCGTTTGGGGTTTAAGGAGCTTCAAGCCTTCAATGGCGGAAAAGGGTGTCTGAGGTTGGTGTTGGGGTTGGGGCTTAGGGGTTTTGGGAGGGAGAAAAGCTACCAACACAAGTGGGCGCGAGATATTGCTCTTGTGTTATGTGAAGTTAACTTTTATCATATACAAGTCTTTAACATAAATATTCAATTTTTTTTTGGTTATTGGGTTATTTAAAATAAAATTTGATTAATTATAATGAGGATTATCTATTTAATTAGTAATTATTTATCCATAACATATGTCTCCAAACAATTTTTAAAATGTTTTTAATATATATAGATTGAAAATGGGGTTAATGTCATAAAAACCCTTAAGTTTTCAGGGTTTTGTTGGTTTTGCCTAAAGTTGAACTATGGCCGTTTTTACCCTCATATTTTCCAAAAATGTTCGGTTTTACCTTTTTATCGGTGATAACAGGTTTTCCTGTTACCATTATATTAATTTTGCAAAAAAACTCTGAAGTTTATATATTTTTTTTAATGTTTTTACCCTTAAGTTTATAATTTTTTTTATACTTTTACCCTACGTATTTTTTTTATATTATACGTATTCATGCGGAAAAATCATATTTATATATAAAAAAAATTAATTAAATATTGTATTTATATTTTTTAATGTTATTTCTATATGTGTATGTGTGTGTCTATATATATATATATATATATATATATATATATATATATATATATATATATATATATATATATATATAACATCCGGATCCCCAGGTATTCTATATTGTTCATTATTTTTGAGTTAGAGAGAAGGACTCGACGAGTTGGCGTCTAGACTCGTCGAGTAGGATTGCAATTTGCTGACTGTATTAATGATTGGACTCGACGAGTCTGCACTGGCAGCAGAAACCCTAAATCTCGGAGTTTGTGTCATATTTAAAGGTATTTATGGCCTTCATTTGCGGCCACTTCACCCCTGAGAAACCCTAGAGAGCAGAGAGAACGTTTGTAGTACAAGAGGAGGGCTAATTCATCATTATTTGGTGTGTTTTAGCAAAGGGGAGGGAGGATTTCGAGCTAGGCAGTCTTGTGGGACTTAAATCTTCCATCATTTCGTGCAGAGCTGCTATGGGAGGTAAGGATTCATGTCCATCTTCATTGAGTAATAGATTTCATAAATCTAGGGCTTTTTCTCTTCTTTTTGGTAAGAGATCTAGTGTATGTGATGTCCCCTTGTGTCAATATCATCCGATCTGGACCTTGAGAGGTCCAAAGAGTCCCTATTCTCCAGCTTTATGCAGTCCTTTATGAGTTTGGGGCTTAGGTTATCATATGAAGGGTTATTTTGGCATATAGAGATGATAGTGTGATGCATGGGCCTAAAGTTTGAACATTTACGTGATTATCATGCTTGGGAAGATCAAATCTATAAGTTAGAGAAGCAGATCTGATCTCAGAAGGTCATTTGAGTGTGATTATGGAAGCAACTCGACGAGTCGAGTCGGGGTTGCCCCGCGATTCGTGGCAGGTGTAACTCGTCGAGTGAAGGGGACGACTCAACGTGCCAAGCGAGGCTAAAAGGATTCAGAGGACCCGTATGGACTCGCCGAGTCTCCCATGTGTACTCGACGAGTCGGGTCAAAGTTTGATCGTTGACTTCCGTTGACCTTAGGGTTTTGGTCAAGATTGATTCAAGAGAGTTCAGGGAGGGATAGAATGGCCTTCTACCTAATCTTTAGAGATGAGACTATAAGAGAGTATTGATTGGGAATGTTATTTAAATGATAGGAGGAGGCTATGTCGGGACATTGAGAACGAGAGTTTATTTGACTTCATTTGAGGTGAGTCTTCTCACTATATTGTACCTGGAAGGGTACATATGTGTGACCGGAAGGTCTTATATGCTATGAGATGTATGTGCTATATGTTGATATGTGATATGTATGTTATGTATGATAAGGACCGGAAGGTCAAGATGATATGGACCGGAAGGTCAAGATGACATGGACCGGAAGGTTAGGAGGTTACAGACCGGAAGGTCGATACGAGTAGGACCGGAAGGTCTACCAGGATTCGGGACGGAAGTCCTCTGAGACACTTGGACCGGAAGGTCCCACAGAGTTATGGCCTGGAAAGGCGTATGTGTTGTATGTGGTATTTTGGGGGAACTCGCTAAGCATTTATGCTTATAGTTGTTGTGTTATGTGTTTCAGGTACTAGCGAGGATCGTGGGAAGGCGTTGACATGATCCGTACACACTCATAGAGATTATGTTTGAGATTTTGTGAATTGTTTTGTTATGATAACATTGGATACATTATGTTATGATATTGTTTTTGATGATTAAAAGTATAATTTAAGAATGAAAAATTGTTTTGAAAATTCACGTCGTTACAATATATATATATATATATATATATATATATATATATATATATATATATATATTATAAATGTTAATATGTATTTTAGAAGTGCAAATATTTATTTTTATATTTATATAAGTATATACATATATTTTTAGAAGTGTACATATGTATTTTGATATATGTTCTTTTATATATATATATATATATATATATATATATATATATATATATATATATAACATTAAAAAAATATATAAATACAATATTTAGTTAAACATTTTTTCGTTTATAAATACGATTTTTCTACATGAATACATATATTGTGAAAGAAAAATACTTAGGTAAAAGTGTAAAAAAATATAAACTTAAGGGTAAAACGTACAAAAATAGTAAACTTAAGGGTTTTTTGCGAATTTAATATAATGGTAAACCTGAAAAACTTGTTATCACCGGGAAAAGGTAAAACCAAACATTTTTTAGAAATATATGAGGGTAAAAACATATATAAAATTCAATTTTGGGCAAAACCGATAAAATCCTGAAACTTGAGGGTTTTTATGACATTAACCCATTGAAAATGGGTTTGAGTTTTTAAAATGTTTTTAATATAACTTTTGAAATTAAAAAATATTTTATATAACTTTTGAAATTAAAAAGTATTTGGGTGTAGGTGTGTGGGGCGGGATGTGGGATGTGTGTTTATATTTTATATAACTTTTGGAATTAAAAAATATAAAAGTTAAATAATTATCAATTTTCAAAGTCCGATTATAATTTAAACTTTTGAAAAATTCTTTGTTATTGAAAAAAATAGAAAAAGGATTATAAAACATAGCATGTGTTCCAAAATTTCACTTCTCTTAGAATTTTAATCGATCCGTATGTTATACGGGTTGATTAAAATAAAATATTAAATACGAATGATTAAATGGAAAATATATTTTAATTTGAAATTTAAAATAAGTATAAAATTATAAGAAAAAAAAACGTGAAAAAAATTAAAATTATTTGTTTAGTTGTTAGACCCGTGTACTGAACGTGTTAATTATAACAAAATGTTAAATATAAAGGTTTAAATCGTAAATTTATTAAAAATTTAATTTGAAATTTCACATTAGTATAGTTTTTATGGTATATTTAATTTATAGAAACTAAATTAGTGATATATTGAATTGAAAAATGAAATATGAAGTAAATGACAAGTGAAAAATAAATATTTTAAAATTATAACAAAATCACATGTGACATAATGAATAAGAGAATGACACGTGGCAAAAAAAACTTTCATTTATTAGGAAAGATTATAGAACTGTGTTATGTCGACGATTAAGTGTTGTGTTATGTCAACGAATAAGTGTGATCCGTTTGAAAAAAATTCTATTGAGCAATTGAGAGAAACCGAATTCAAATAAGAGATATTAGTATCTCTTAGGTAGTATTCAAAGTAAATAAGAAACATTATCAACATAAAAACATATAATGACTAAGTATGTGAAATAATATGAGACATTATGGAAACAAAAGTATAAAAAAACATTTTTCTCGAAGGTTTCATTATTGTTATTGTATATGTGCTTTTCAAAGAACCAATGCATTTAAACATGGTTTCTCAAAAAAGTTATTAGAAAAAATAAAATTGGAAACTTATATGTAATTAAGTGAGTAGATTACTAGCTTGGTCCACGTTGTATACAACTAGTTGGAATATTCACGCTTTGTTGCGCTGTTATACGTGTCAAAATAAAATGCCAAAAAATGATCCGTAAATGACATAACACTGAAATACATATAAATGATAAAGCTTGAGGGGTTAAACTTTTCAAAGTAATAAAAAATTAACGATTAGTTTTCGAGTTTAACAAAAGAAAAGAAAAAAAGAGAAAATAAAATCAGAAGAGAAAATAAAAAAAAAAGTAAAAAGAAAACAAAATTTTCTCTTATGTTCCCGAGATGGAGATAACTGAAACGAAAATTAATCATTTGTTGTTCTTTGTTTCTAAATACTTCCTAAACAGAAATAAAGATAGGAGGGAAAGTGATCATTCTATTTCCCTCCGCTTTTTTCCACTTTTTATATAATAAATTTTATAATAAGTTTGTATAAATATTGTTTGTGTAGACATCTTTGAAAAATATATAATCTCAATTATCTCAATGGCCTCTACCTGCAGGTTATTCATAAATAATATTAAATATAATATATGGTTTAATGATATTTATAGTAGTTGTTATGATTAATTAATTTTTAAAAAATTTATTTGCTTAAGATTTTAATTTTTAGACAAAACTACAAATTTGGTCCCCGTGGTATTCAAAAAACTTTGGATAGGGTCCAAAAAAATTTCAACTTGCATTAAAGGTCTAAAATCAAGGTTTTTCTGGGTTTTTGGTCCAAAAAAACTTAAAATGACGATTATTCCCTTTTGATTTCTTTTTTCCTTTTTCTATAAGTATTTTAATGCTATTTTAATTTTAAAAAAGAGTAAATTACACGAATGGTTCCTATGGTTTGGGGTAATTTGCGCGTTTGGTCCCTAACTTATTTTTTTAACTCGGAAGCTCACTACTGTTTGTTTTTATCATGCGTTTGGTCCCTACTATTTGTTTTTGTTACGCGTTTGGTCTCTGCCTTACCAAAAAAGACTATTATTTAAATAGGAAAAAATGATGAGATATGTAAAGTAAGGTGAGGGGGATGAGGTTGAGGATGTGTTTATTCAAATAAATTAAAAAATCAAGGGCAAAGTAGTCTTTTTAGGTAAGACAAGGATCA